CCCCAAAACCCCAAAACCCCAAAACCCCAAAACCCCTTTTCGCCTAAAATTTATTGGAATTTTGAAAACAATGTTAGTATTTGATGTTCAGAGATTGCTGATGCATCCTCTTCTTACGAGTAAGCTTGAAGGTTTTATTGTACTTGGTAATGATCCTGTTCTTTAAATAAGCATTATTCATTTTCTAGAGGATTACAGAATGATTTTACCTCATCTCCAGCTCCGTATGGGTCTGGCTCGCCGATTAGATCCCATATAATTCTAGAGGGGTTAGGATAATATTTACTCCTCATCGTCTCTCATTTTAAATTCATTCTTTTTGGATTTTCTAGAAAATTTAGCCAATGATGTGTTACTTTTTGGATTTCTGAGGAACCTTTCCATATTTCCAATCCTTGCCTAGTTCAACTAAAAAGGTTAGACGATCATAGTAAGCTATTAAGTTAGGCTTACGAGCTGATCTGGCTGCTGATATTTCTTTCTTCTCCTGTTTTGCTTCGAAATGATGGAGCATTCATTCGAATTTGATCTTCTCGACGTTAGCTGAGATGTTTTTAAACACTATTTGCATAAAGTGAGCGAAATACTTTTATTTTTATTACTAACCCGACTCATTGTACGAGATTGGGTATGATTAGTGTTGCTTCTAGTTGCCAGCTCATGACTAAGCATCGTCTCTGACCCATTAATAACACTGGTAAGGTCATCATTGCCTAGTGAGTTATATCAAAATCATACCTTCAGTTTTAAGCTTCATAGGCAGTTTCTCAACGCTGTTTCGTTGTGTAACTGAACAATTTTTAGCTAAAACTTGTTCCTTGATGTTCCTGCCTTCAGGAATTTTGCTAAAGGATCCCATTGACACAGTGGTCCATTTCTTCTGAGGATTTTCTACTGTTAAACCTTTCTGTAACTGTCTATAAACATTTTAGAATAATTACATCCAAGAAGAGGTTTATAATTATGATTAATAAACTCACTTTGAATTGTTAGCTGGATTTGCCCTTCTGATGTAGAGAGGGGCTTTGAGCATCTGAGTACCTGATTTCAAGCAGTTCTTGATCTTCTTTACCTGGTTCTCCTTTAGATCAGGGACACTCATAGTTCTTGTCTTTACATGCGCAGGGAGAGTACTAGTAGCTTTAGTATAAAACCTACCATCTTTGTGGTTTACTATTAATATTCAAAGATGTTTCAGGACTCTTTGAGTTATCCTGAATTTCCTATAAAAATAGATATTTTCTAAATTCCCAAATTAGTAAATTTCGAGGACAGATGTAGAAATATGTCTAAAAGTGCAATGAGTTATTCAGAGGTCCCTAGTAACTATTCATGAAGAACTTCTCACTTGATAGAGAAATTATATAAAACTAGATGAACTGCTTCACCAGTTGTTAAAAGGTCTTACACCTATTAATTTCTTGATGAACTTAGTTTGTTGTTCAGAACTCTCTAGTCTGTCTTGGCTTCTCTTGGTCATGACTGGCTTGCATTTTATTAAAGTGATTTTCTTTGCTGGGATCATCCTTTTCCTTAATTTCTTCACAGAAGATTCAGGCGATCCGTTTCTATAATTATTTAGAATATCGTTACTGATTTGATTGCTTCCAGTATTCTTCAAATTTCTCTAGGTCTTTACGAATCTTTTTCTTGCTTTCTTGGTTGTAGATCTTTTTCTTAAGTGTCCTGACTGACTTGGTCGTGGTCAAAGGGTTTATCCTGTTTTTGTTTTTGTAAAACTATATTGTTAAAATATGAAGAAACTTACCCTCTTTGACATCTTGGTCATTGGAGTCAAAGCTTCATTTGAGTCACTGTCATCATCTCGTCTTTTGAGTGATTCAAAGTCGATCGTGATAATTGGATTGAGGGATGAACGCTTACGAGAAATCATTGGATGAACCTCAGCCTGATCTGAGTTTGCAACATTCATACTAAGTCGTTTCGAGACTAGAGAAGCTGCCTTTTCATCCATGTTCTTTGGAAGAGCAAGTCTGTCCATTTCTATATCCTGTATGTACTTTCCAGCGGTTGTTTTAGGTTTCAAATGGCTTGAACTTCTCATTTCGTATCTGTAAGAAGGTTCTTGGACTCTAAAGAATTTTGCTTCTCCCATGATTTTGTAGCTTTCGGCTAAAGCTCCGATCTATAAGGATGGAAGTCAGTTTGTTTGATTCAGGTTATGCTAAAAGAGTTTTCCAGCCACATTGGGCTTGATTTACCCTGAATTAAGGAATAGAGCAGCTTACTTGAAACATGTCTGAAGAGGATGGTTAATAAATATAAATCAAAAATAGTAAAATGAATAGGGGTTTTGGGGTTTTGGGGTTTTGGGGTTTTGGGG